TCAGCAAACTTGCTGAGGGTACATTCTAACTCTTCATCCAGGTCGTTGATGAAGAAGTTAAACAAGACTGGGCCCAGTACTGACCCCTGGGGGACACCACTTGTCACCAGCCTCCAACTAGACTCAGCGCCGCTGATGACAACCCTCTGAGTTCTGCCATTCAGCCAATTCTCTATCCACTTCACCGACCATATCTGATGCCCTAATCAAAGCTGCCTTAGCATCTGCAAGTAGAAGGCAGCAAACAGATATCTGGCAGACACATTTTTTATCCCAAGTTTAACAATCAATTTTCTTTCACTATAATTAACTTTCCCAACTAATCCTTATTTACATAAGCAGAGTTCTTGGAGAGACTGGATGAGATGCTAACAGCATTGAAATCTGTAAATAATCAGTGGAAATTCCATTTATTAAAGAGATTCTGTAGACATTAAACTATATTGTAAGCTTCTTGTAAAGAGTTCTTTTGATGTATTGTTTGTGCTTCAGTTTTATAAGCTTTCTTCCCTTTTCCTGTCAGATTCTCAAACAAGAGATTATACATGTTTAGATAATTAATTTTCTGTATTTCTTTCAGTTAAAGAGCACAAGTGGTTAACTATATTAATTTAATTCTTCAGTTAGATACTCTGCTTTCTCTGGTAGACTTTTAAGGACTGTTAATTGTAACTTGGTCCATAGATGTTCCCAGTGCCCCCAAATTTTGTGGATTATTCTGAGTTCTGCTTATAATACAAAATGTGAAAAATATATTTTTTCACAAAACATATGTAAGTCAATATAAATTTGTATTTATCATAATTTTAGATTAGTGTTTGTATATAGTTCCAGGGGGCATCTTAACTACAAAGTTTTGTTTTATAAGACCAGTGATAACTATAAATCCAATTGTGTTTCTTAGAACCTGTGTTTAAAACTGTTTCCTGACCTGTAAACTACTCTAAAGTAAACACAATAACTAACTGGGTTTTCCTGCAAAGAAGTTCTCATCACGCTGTGAAAACTACGGCATGAACAGTAAGATTCCTAGAACAGGGAAGGGAGAGGATAATTGTGTATGAACATCAGACAGACAATACTGCCAGTCCAGGCGTCATATGTTTGTATGTATTATGTACATACACATTCACGTTTTTGCTTTCTATAAGGAACACCCTATAGAACAAAATTTCTGAATTCAAATTCATCTTAAAGCAGACAACAGTTTTCTGTAGTGGGGTATTCTTTGGTTTGTTGATTTTAGAAATCAGCAATAATTTCTTAGGGCCTCAAGCTGCTTTTCCTAAGTCCTGCACACACAGAAACCAGTAAACCTTTCCTAAAGCAGGATGTCTCTCTTAAAAACTCTACTTGCTACTCTGAATCCATGTCAGGTATGCTTTTACCTCTTCAGAAAGCTTCATGTTTGCTTGGATGAAGCCCTTGAAACACAGATGCTTCTCCAAGAAGCTCAGAAGTTCTGCCAAAGGCTGAAGAGACACTTGCACAGCTGTGTCAATCACAGCCCTGCCCACAGCCCTCTTCCGTCAGGGCACAGATGCCACAGACTGACTTCAGCTTGTAGCCTTCTCAAAGCCTCTCTCAGAAGCTGTAAGTATCCACAAAACCACCACTACTTAGAAATGGAATTTCCAAGTATCTGGGGTTACAGCATCACCTCAGCACAAGACCTTTATGCCAGATTGATGGAGCAAAACCACCGCAAATGTCTCTTAACTGTTTCTTAATCCAAGGAATGCCAAGAGGAAAGTCTCAGTTGGCAAATACTGATTGATAAATTGCCTTAAAAAATCATCTGCAAACATATAAGCACAATAGCTACAAAAAATGATGAGACTTAGTTTCAGTCTATGACTTTGATTTGATCAATTGAAACTCTGTGTGTACTTTCCCCATTTACTAATGACCAATAATCATCACTGGATATATTTTATATAATCTGTGTATTAGCAAATGTATTCATGCAGTAACTCTTATTTTAACTACAGGTATTGCTGCGAAACAGAAACCAACCAAATCAATGATGGAGCATAGAACCATCTGCAACTATCATAATGCTTATTAGCAGTTACATGATTTTCTCTCTTAAAAGCCAAATGGACTGAAAACACAACGTTTATATAAACTCTTCCACAGCAAAACTTAACAGAATGCTGACACATTGCTAGCACTGTATTACCACAGACCTCTAGCAAGAATGCAGGAGGCATCGCACCCCAGGACATTAGTAGGGCTGCCATGAAGTACTCACACTCTCAAGTCTTACTGCAGCCTCTTATTTGAGTAATTCAAATGTAAGCACGGACCCAGAACAACCCCAGTTCCAGATCCAAATGCTACAGCTTAACCCCTTCTCCGGGCTATAAGCTCAATGTAGGCTTTCTACATATAATGCACAATTCCAAATTTAATATGGAAATCAATTTAAGGAGTCCCAGTACAAACCAGTTAACAGATTTTCCTTCTCTTTTCTTCCTCCCAGTTCTTTACCTTTGTTAGGTTTTAGGTTAGATTTTTACATGTGTATGTGCAGGGGGCAGTTTTCTAGGCTCTTTCACAGTAGTACTTTTTAGCTAACTGTATTATTTTAGATAACGTGCCGTTACCCAGAATGGCCTTCAGGCCTTCAGTTAACTGACAAACCATTTCGCAGAGCAAAAACTGAGTCAACGAGGTTTGGGGTTTTTTTTGCTTACAGTACTTGCATACAATTTCTGATGCTTCTATTCAGCCTAACATCAAGTAAACCTTATATAAATACAGACATGTTTTCAGTTTGCCACAAATATAACTCACTGCACGCAAAAACAATGAACTACAGGCAACCTCCAATGTTTCTTCTATACTCCTGTCACACACACTTGTACAACGTTAACCTCAAACACGAAGTACACAGGGATCCACCGTGCTTCTTTTGTAAGAGGAGGCTCTTCGAATCAGAGTTGAAACACTGTCACTCTGTCACCAAGGAGTCTCTCAGCCCAGAGATAACCTCCTTCCTCATGGCGAGCTTTTGTGACAGCTCTCTATCAGTCTTACTACTCAACAGCAAACCTCCCAGTCTTTGAGCACTACAAAAGTGTTCAGCTAATGCAACCAAATAGGAAGAGTACCTAGAATCACAGCCATCCTTTTGTTTTTTAAAAATCTTGATCATGTTTACCTTGTTTTCACCTCGATGCCTCCAGTGGCAGAATGGGGCCTCAAATATGCAGCTTGCATAAGGAATAAGGCACATGAAATCAGTTATGTTGGCCAGAAGGGACCTCTGGAGGCTTCTAGGCCAATCCCCCGCTCAAGGTGAGGCCAGCGTTGACGTTACATCAGGTTGCTCAGGACCTGGTCCTGACGAGTTGTGAAAATCTCCAAAGATGGAGATTCCAGAGCCTCTCTGGCCCCCTGTTCCAGTGCTTAGCAGTACTCCAGCTGTGGTCTCACAAGTGCCAAACAGAGAGGAAGTATCACTTCCATAAACCTGCAGGCCATGCTCTTGCTAACACAGCCCAGCATGAAGCTGTCCATCTTTGCCAGCTGACCACAACGCTGACTCACATTCAACTCTTTGTCCCTTAGGACCCCATGTCCTTTTTCTTAAAACAGCTTTTAATCCTCTTGGTTCCCAGCCTTTACAGATGCACGGGGTTACTCTGTCATAGGCTGCAGGCTTTAATTTTTATTAAACTTCATCATTTTTCTGTCAGTCCATCTTTTCAGCCTGCCAGGATCCTCCAAGTAGCAGTTCAACTGCCAAGCATGTTGAAGGCTGTCAGCAACGTGGTATTGCCCGCAGACCTGCTGAGAATGCACTCCACCCCTCAGCCACGTTGTTAATGCAAAACTTAAAACAGCATTGGCCCCAGGATCACCCCCTGAGAACCACCACCCGCAGCTGGCCACCCACTGGGTGTCAGTCTGCTAACCACTGTTCTCTGAGCCCAGCTGCTCCATTTTCCACCAACCCTGTGGTCTTCCCATCCAGCCTGTACTTCCCCACTTTCACTATGGGGATGCTATGTCAGACCATGTCAAAGGCCTTGCTAAAGTCAAGGTAAATGACATCCACTGCTCTTCCCTCATCCATCAAGCCAGCTCTCTCAGAGAAAGCAATCAGGCTGACTGAGGCACAAATTTTGCCTTTGGTAAATCCAAACTGGCTGTTCCAAATCATCATCTTGTCTTTCATGCACCTGGACACAGCTAGAGGATTTGCTCCATAACTTTCCTGGAAACTGAGGTTAGGCTGACCAGCCTGTCATGCTCTGGATCCTCCTCCTTCCTGCAAGAAGATACATTTGCCTTGTTCCAGTCACCTGGAAATCTCCTCTGATAACCACAGCCTGCCAAAGATGAAAATGTCAGTGGCCTTGCAATAACGTTGACCAGCTTCTTCAGCACCCTCAGACACATCTCATCTGGTCCCACAGAGCAGTCTTTGTCCAGTTTGCTTCTGTGGTCCCCAAATCTGTCTTCCTCTATCACGTCAGTATTTCACTCCTTCTGACTGTGCCACTAGGCTCAGGGAACCTGAGAGGCCTGTGAGAAGACCTTGCTAGTAAAAACTGAGACAAAAAGGGAAAGTACCTTGGCTTTTTCCATACCGTCCTTAAGTCGGTCCCCTACCCTGTTGAACGCTGTGCCTACATTTTCCTTCACCTTTCTTTATTGTCAAAGTAATTATGGAAGCTTCTCTTGGTGGTCATGTCCTTTGACAATTTCAGCTCCAGCCGAGCTTTGGTTTTTGAACTCCGTCCTCTCATGCCTGGGCAATGCTTTCGCATTGCCTGGGTAGCTCAAGCCTCCTTCCATGTTCCCAGCCCTCCCTTTGGTGTCTGAGTTCAGACAAGCGTTGCCCATTCAGCCAAGCTGTTCCTCTGCCATGCCTGCTGAAATTCTAGCTCACTGGACAAGACTGGCTTTGTGCCATAGGCATGTTTGTCTTTCAATATCAATGCACCCTGCTAGGCTTCGTTGCCCCTCGTGGTTTTTCCAAAAGAGCCTGTATCCTTCCATCACAGTGCTCGTCACGAGCTATGCCACCCTGTCCCTGTGATCCCAAAGAGGTCACAGCTGGATCTGCAACTGGGCAGATCCTTCTAATTCCTCCGATTTCTTTCCCGGGCTGTGTGTGTTCACGCAGCATCCCGATCCCTTCGCAGGGCAAGAGAGCGAGCCTCCAGCAGCCGGCTGTGCCCTGGCCGACCCTGTCCACCCCCAGCCTTCCTCCACACATCTCCTGGGGGTTGGCTCCATCCTCACAGGTTCCCCAGTTGTGGAACTTCCTTTATTTTAACCCGGAGCTTAAAACACCAATTACCTAGAAAATGAACTATTCCCTGTTAGCATGGCAGGCTGTGGAAATAAGAGACAAGAGAGCACTCTCTGCATTCCTTGCAAAACCACAAAATTCAAGGCATTATTTTGCTTAAGAATGCAGCCATGGTAAGCCAACATCATTACTGGAAAAAAAATTCTGGTTTGGCTTTTTGTCTTTCGTTATTACAGAAAGATTATTTTCCTTATTTTTTTTTCAATAGGAATCAACATTTGCTTTCCTGTTTGAGGTGCAGCAGTGTTAAACCACTGCCCATCAGCTGCAAAACAGGCTGTCTGCACTGTAGATACGAATGCAACGAATTTATTCACTGAACTGTCATTTAAAGTGGTTCTGCGTTCTGCTGCAACTGACCAAGTAAGAAAGTCTGATATGTCATACAAAACTAAATAATTTAAACCAAATAGGAATATTTTCTTATACTCTTCATAGATTAAATGTTTTTGTCGTGACCTTGAACAGGGTGGTCCAGCACAGTGACACCTGTCCTGTCCCTAAGCTGCTACTTTGAGACACAGCGGCCTGCAGGCAGCCGCAGAGCAACGCCACTGGGGAGACAGGGGAGGGGAGGGACGGTCAGCCGCTGTGTTTAACTGACTGCTTGCAATGCAAAGCAGCACGTCTTTTGTAAAAAGCTGAAATGCTGACTGAAGATAAACATTTCATGTCTTTTTTAAATATAAAAATAGTTGTACAAAAATAAGCTCATAGACCCGTTCAGCAGTTTGAAGTCAGTTCGGCTTCTTGATCACTGCAGTGGGATACACGGCGGTGCGTGTTTCCGCTTTTTGCAACATTTGTTGGACCAGCACCCACACAGCAATGCAGATACTCAACTTCCACCTTCAATATTTCTCGTTATTCTCGGATTATCTGGGATGACAGACACATCCACACCTCAGACCTAATTTTAAATGAGATAACGCTATCCTGTATGATGCGTTACTCAACTCTTTTTCAAGTACCTGATACTCCCACAAGGCTGAGAACTCAGTTTATCAAGACAAGCTTGGAAGAGTTATTATTTTAAGGCAACTTCAAGTTTTCTTTTCTTCTTTTGGAGTTTATTGTCTTTGAAAAGCTTGATTAAATTGGATTATATTAGCAGAAACACAGTTCTTACATCAAAATCCTCTATTTGGGAGGGGCATTTATTTCAATCAGAGTTTTGAGATTTCACGTTCTCCTACATACCCACTTTTTTTTTTTTATGACTGAATTACACAGAGGGCACCATGATTTACAAATTAAGCATTAGTACTATTGTTCTAAAACACCACTAAAGGTAGGTGGAAATAATGCAATAAACCTGTTTGTCAAATTGTATTATCAGAACAGCAGAAAACAATTTGTGAGAAGTGCAAAAGAGCCGAAACTAAACCGCGTTAAGAACTATTAGTCATACAGAAATTACAACTCGCATTAAAATGAAAAAGACGAAGTTGTACGCCTGCGAGTAACCCCTAACGTTAAAGCTATAACACTGCAGGTAAAAATCTGAACTCATGGCGCGGAGTTGATGCTCTGAGCAGGCCCGGCCATATGTAGGCGCGAAAGAGCCGAGACTCTGGATGTGTGTGATCAGGACAACGCCACGTTCCTCGGGTAACCGCCCTTCTTTAATTCCGATGAGCTGGTAAGCACAAAACTGCGCTTCACTATTTCTGCGCACCGCTGTGCGTGGCGGGCAGGTGTATGTTCCGCAGAGGCTGCTCCACCTCCCACAGTCTGACAAGCCCGACATCCAGAACTTTGGATTTTGCTGAACTTTCTATCTGCGCCAGCAGCAGCACCGCTGCCAGAGGGATGGGGATGCCGTTCCCCCGCGGGAAGCACGGCATGACCCCAGACCCACGGGGGCCGAGGCACCGGGGACCCCGCGTTGGGGGAGAAAGCCAAAACCGAGCCTTACCGCT